TGTTTTTCCCAAAATCTCATCTTCAGTTAAAGCTTTCAAACTGTCGTGTGAACTTACATTTGGCCTTTCTATCTTCAAGAGGAGGTTGATTAGTTATTTATATATTAAATATGTAAACGAACATTCGACCTTTCCTGCATACGAAGAGACCATAAGAACATCCACATGTAGATTAAAACGTATGAGTTTAAAACAATCAGAGATAAAGATTAAATATTAAACCTGGATGAACAAACTATTCACCATTCACTGTGTTGTTCCTGTGTGAATATTAAATATTAAAGTGCATTAGAGTGAAGAAACAATGCGTTACCTCTGTGTGAATGTGCCTCTGCTGCTGCTGCTGCTGCTGGTTCATTCAGCTCCCAAAACTCATCCAACCAGTTGTACCATCACTGCACACATTTACCCAGCATGCACTGCAAACAGACCTGGTGTCAAAGGTTGTTCTGGCTCTGATGAATCATTAAAAGTCCAACTTCCCTTCAGTCAACAACACGTGATCCACTGTTTGATTGAGATCCATTAAACTGTTTGTCCATGATAAGGTTCAACTGATTTAATTAAAACAACAATGTAATATTATAATATTACACCTTAATGGAAAGTCATTGTTTTATTATATGCAGCCTTTGAATGTTCGGGCATAACAGATGTGGGTTAATCAGAAGTTTCTGTATTTATTGGAAAATTATTTACAGAACAAAATACATCCGTGGTTCCGGCTTTATTCGGGCTCACACAGAATTTTTGGGGTTTGGGCCTGATTTGTTTTTGGGCTCAATCAAAGCTCTAATCAATTAAGGAAGTGTTGAAGTTAGTTGATTTAAATTATTTATTTATTTATTTTAAGGGGGTTCGGGTCAGGTTCGGGCCCAAAATTGTTTCCATGGTTCGGGCTTGCACAGTATCTTTTGGGCCTGATCAAACTCTAATAAAGGCATCAAAACAGGAAGGAAGTAGTAAAGCTTGCCTCTTGCTTGATTTGATATAAATTATTTATTTATTTTAAGGAGAAATTTAGGTTTGGGTTGCACTTGGGTCCAAAGCTACTTCCATGGTTCCGGCTTTATTCGGGCTCACACAGAATTTTTGAAGGTCGAGCCTGATTTGTTTTTGGAGCGAAACAAAGTTCTAATTAAGGAAAGAAATAGTGAAGCTCGTTGATTTTATTGTGGAAAGTGGAAATTTGGCTTTGGGGCCAAAACTGCTTCCATGTTTCGGGCTTGCACACTTTTTTGGGCCCAATCAAACTCTAATAAAAGGCATCAAAACAGGAAGGAAATAGTAAAGCCTGCCTCTTACTTCATTTCATATAAATTATTTATTCATCAATTTATTTTAAGGGGAAATTTCGGTTCGGGTCGGGCTTCAGCGCAAAGCTACTTCCGTGGTTTAGGATTGCACAGAATTGTTTTAGGGTCGGGCTCGCGAGCTGAAGCGAACCATAATAATATAATTTACTACATATAAATAGAGAATCATGATGCAATTACTACACACAAACCTCCAACCACACATTTTATGAAAAAAACTTTTACTACACTCACAATGAAACAGATTACATTTATCACTGAAGACAAAAACACCAACAGCAGAAACTACAGTGAAGCCAAATGACGTTTCTGTTCCTTCAGTTACAGGATTTCCTATTAAAACATTGAAATGATGTCAAAGTATAAAGAACCACTACTGTACACATAAATATTTTAAAGACATAACATATTTACAGTCACAGTCCACATTGTCCAGCTGGGTAAACATGCTAAAGCATCTGGCTCAGTTTTGCTCTTTGTAAAAACCAAAATCACCCAAACTCATGTCATAAAATGCAAATAAAATATGATGTATAGGCAGCACAAGTAAAAACAAGTCATATGATATTGGACTACTGTGATAGAAAGACATGGTATAAACACTCAAACGGGATTGGCTTCAATAATTCGTGTTCTGGAGAGCAGGAACATTAATGCCAAAATTGGGGGAATCTGGACGATAACATTCATTTCTGTGTCCGAAAGTGTGCCATTGTACGCTGATAAATTAACTTCCATTTTGACAACAAGCAAAGGAAAAGAGAAACAAATAGTATATCCAACATTCAAGTTAAAACACATTTGTAATGCGAACTCAAACACAATACTGCAGAGTTAGCACTGAATGGACCTCCACAGGAATGCTACACAATAAACACACTGTTTTCATGCTATAAAAGGTGTCAAAGGTTTGGGTTTCCTGCCTGGGAAAATTTACTTTTTTGTTCTCTTCTTATTAGTTCAGTCTTCATTTGACTCTTCCAATCAGACCACTCTCCTGTGAGTAGAGCTCATTGATTGAAAGCTGTTTTAACTGCTAACCTACATGAATTCTTTTTTATCTGCATAATTGGTCCGTTAGCTAATCATTATCAGCTCTTTATGCTGGTAAACTGATCTGTTAGTTTATATGTAGCAAACTGTTTAAGCTGATGAACTGATCCTTAGCTAACATTAACCAGCTACGCAATGTTTTAGCCACTGAACTGTCGCATCTGTCCCTCCTCTTTGGCTCTTCCTGAGGTTTATTCCGCATTAAAAGGGGATTTTGGGGGAGTTTTTCCTCACCCAAATCAAAAGGTCTAAGGACAGAGGGCGTTGAACATTGTACAGATTGTAAAGCCCCTTGAGAAAAATTGTGATTTATGATTTTGGGCAATATAAATAACGTCTGACTTGACTTTTTGGACCATCTTACCTGAACCAAACAGTTTAATCTGCTGAACTGATCTGTTGGTGGAAAAATGTAATCTTCCCCATTTATATCCACTACGTGTAATTTTTACTCAGAGTTAATGCCCATTTCAGGAAATTGTCAGAGTCTATATATCACTTTATGACTCTCACCCAGAGAGTAATAAAACCGTGCTCACTGAGCCTTTACCACAGCACCATAACGCGGTCCTGTACACGTCTGGTTACACATAACAACAACACAACTGATGAAAATAAACTGTGTGATAAGGAGCTGCCAGCTGCTGACTTTATTAACATGAATCAGAGCCGAATCCCATATCGGCCGCAAGGTTAGGGTGATAAATGGGCCCAATATTACCTTTTTTAGTAAAGGTAATTTTGTAATACATATAATATAATAGGAAAAGGGCCAAAAATCTGCCAAACATAGCTCATGAATTATATATTTTTTAACAGGTGCACTATTACCAATAACATAAAATCAAATAAATTGCTCACTGTGATTATTTTTCTGCATAAAGTCTAAAGTCTCTGCAATTACATTTTTATATCATTCTGTAATTACTGTCATTGAAATCAATGGCTGCTGGAAAATGTAGTAAAACCATCTAAAAACTATGCATAACCACCAGTACGGCGGTTTATTGAAACATATATTTTCCCATGTGTCAGTATGGAGAACCAGAGTCAGCGATGTACCAGGAACACATTGGGGTTTGTGTTGGAAACCAGAACTGGAGAATAAAAATCGACTGACAGTAACAGACAGATTCAGGAGTGGAGGTGAGTCAGTCCAACGCAGTTCATGTTGCCAACGCCTCCTTAAAGCATCTTCCATCCCAGCTGTTACCGATCCGAGTTTCTGTTTCTGGAGAGATCTGGAAAGAGAAACAAATTCTACCTCAGTTAAACAAAAACCCCCAGACATCCATTTAAAATCCTATCGAGGCGTCATGAACGACTTGGTGTACACTGCTTAAGTGTGCAATAGATAATATATATATATAAAATATAAAATATCTTTTCATCAGCTAACTGTATCCCTTGGCTAACCTTTCTCTACCTGTATTTGCACATCCATCAGAGACTCGCGCACACGAGAACAATCACGTTCCACACAGAGAGAAACCACGCAACGCCATACGCAACGTTAACACCGCGCGGAGCTCGCCGCGTCTGCAGACTTGGTGTCCGCACCGCTCGCTGGCCACCCATCACACCCACCGGACGTCACGCACACTTAACTCGACAGCTCAACGCACACCCATCAGGAGGGGCCAACCACCTGTTATTTTCCGCTACAACTGGTGACTGCCACCTTGGCGCTAACCTGCTCGCTTCCGCCACACCCTGTCACACTGCGCGCGTTGCCCCACCCATTTCTCTGCACTGGCTTCACTCGTTTGCAATGTTTACTGTAGCTCTGTTATCTTTTATCTTATTTTTGATTCTGTTCTTAAGGTCAGGTTTTTTAATTCTAGTTTTATGTATGTTTGGACTTTTGTATGCCTCCCGCACCGACATAACACAATATCTGCGCCTACATTACAGCTTGCACTCTAAACGAGGCCGTTCAACACCTTTCACAGTGTATTTCACTTTACTCTACAGTCCTACTCTCATCTATGCTTACCTTCATTTTGTTAGCTAACCTGAACTAAACAGTTGTATCTGCAAAATGTATTCATTAGCTAACCATAACCAGCTGTTTATGTTGGTAGACTGTTTGTGAGCTTACATGTCGGCATGAAACCCGGGACGACATTTTGCTGTTGAATACCTTTTCATCCGTTATACTTATTTGTTAGCTAACCTAACCAAAAAATTTTCTCTGCTAAACTAATCCGTCTTCTTTATATAATGTTTACATATTTCCATATATTTATATCATAAGTACACAGCAGGAGCTTTTCCAACGTCCCAAATGCAAAATAATTACTGGAACAAGGTTATGTAAATTTTTTCTGGAAGCCAAAATGTAAATAAATAAGTATGGTGTTCTCCCCAGTGCACTTTTATGAATACTAATAAATTTAACGGACTGAAGGTATCACAAAGAAACAGTTTAATTTCTCTTAATGTAAGTTCAAAAATCTGATATCTCACTTTAGGTCTTTTTGGAATAAATCGGAAGAAACCACTGAATCTTCTAGGAATTAAGAGCAGTTTGGCGTTAAGATGAGGTTGAAAAACAAATAGTTTATCCCATCAAACAACTAAGTTTAACCAGGAAGTCCTGATGTTTTCTTTACTCTGTAAGGTAAAGAGAAAGAGCTCAGTGGGAAAGTAGCTTCATCGTAGCAGAAGATACTTAATGGACAAATGCCGCTGATCTAATTAACTTCAAATTGAGTAAACGGTACTTTACATTACTGTTGACTGTTTTCTAAACCATACCATCAGCTTTTTACCTCCAAGCAGCTATTGGATTCAGTTCATTTCCTTTCTCTATGGAGAGCAACTTGAAACACGCTGCAGATACTTCACAGTAAACAGTTTCTTGTTTATTTTTGTCAAAGTTTTATTATTGTTGCATTGAAAATACAGTCGCGAGGAAGGATTGTCTTGAAAAAGTGTTCCTTAAATGCACCACCAAGGAGAATTTTAAAAGTCAAACTACCTCAAGCCACCTGGAAAATTAATCCCAAAC